ACCACTGTTAAAATGATTGTGAGGCAGAAGTTCTAAAAACCCTCAAGGAGAAAGAGCTCAAGGGTGAAAGAGCATTCATTCACCAAGTGAAGGGTCAAAGTCTCAGTGACAAACAAAATATATCTTTCTTTTGATAATGTTCTCCCAACCTTGGGGGTTGGGTTTGCCAGGAAATGACAAAGCGTTGTGGTGGGATTAAAACTCCTTCTCCCCCTTCAAATGAGCTTAGTTTAAAATGTCCATGGGGGTCGAGCCTGGAGCTCGCTGTGCCCTGGTTTCTGCATTGTGGAGCCAGGCAACATAAAACTTGACATGGCCCTAAGCTTGTTAGCCTTTTCGGTCTGTGTCATCATTTTAGTCACAGCAGGACCCTAACGGGCCTCTTCACTGACAAGGCTCTGATCTGTGACACTTTAAATCTGGATTGAAAAAATAGCAAGAGCTGGTTCTGGGGGAATTGCTTCCTCCAGAGCAGAGACAATGTGTGAGAGTAAAGAAGCTAGGCATTAGCATCTGGCAGACCTTTTCCTTGGAGTCCTAACTGCTACTTGATGCAGTCAGTAACTCTGCATTTCTGAGCCTCATAGAGGGGTCACAGGACCCGACTCGATGCCCAAGAAACGCCTAGCAGGCACTGAGAAGTGTTTGTTAATGGCATTATTTCAGTCTTGGCTCTACGCATGACAAAACTATGCGCCATACACATTTAGTATCGAGCAAACATCAATTATTAAAAACATGTATTCATATTCTAGAAAAGATGCAAAATGCAGGTTAAGGGCCACAAAATAGGTGACGTACACATGTGAGTTTTCCTTTTAATGTTAATACGTAGATTCGAACATTGTGTTCCGTGAAGTATGTTGTTGGATGGCATTGAGGTTACAGCTCATAGCTACTCTATATGCGGCAGCCTGAAACACTGCCCGCGCCCGCGCCTGCACCGTCCTCACAATTGTTCTTTAGGTTTGAGCACCTTCTTGCAGCCACTAGGCCAGTCCATCTTGTTGAGGACTTCCTCTCTTTTGCTGTCCCTCTATCAAGCATGATGCCCTTCTCAGGGACTAGTGTCTCCTGACAGGACATCCAAAGGACATAAGACCAAGTTTTACCATCCTTCTTTCTAAGGAGCATTCTGGCTGTACTTCTTCCAAGACAGATGTGTTGGTTCAATCCATGGTACTTTCAGTATTTTTTGGTAGTATAATTCAGATGCATCAGTTCTTCTTCGGTCTTCCTTATTCAGTGTCCAATTTCCACATGCATATGAGGTGATTGAAAAGTATAGGGTCACCAAAATGAACACTCTCAACGAACTGGATTGACCCACTAGCAGAAACAGTGGGCTCAGAGGTACAATGGTGAGAATGACTCAGGACTTGGGTGGGTTGCTAAGAGTCTGAATCAACTCACTAGCACTGCACAACAATATAGAGTGCTAGAAATATTGAAAGATTAGAAGATTCTATGGGCAAAATAAGGAATGATGCAGGACATATCAAAAGAAGATGGGAAGACTACACAGAGTCACTATAACCCAAAAGAATCCATTCAACCACTTCAAGAGGTAGCATATGAGCAAGAACCAATGGTACTGAAGGAAGACGTTCAATCTGTATTGAAAGCATTGGCTAAAAACAAGGCTCCTAGAATTGATGGAATACTGACGGAAATGTTTCAACAAGCTGGCAGAGCACTGGAAGCACTTACTCATCTGTGCCAGGAAATTTGGAAGAGAGCTACTTCACCAACTGACAAAGATATATTTGTGCCCATTCGAAATTATAGAACAATATCATTGATATCACATGCAAGTAAAATTTTGCTGAGGATCATCAAGCAATGGTTGGACAGTACATTGACAGTGAGCTGCCAGAGGTTCAGGCCAGATTCAGAAGATGACTTGGAGCAAGGGATATCATTATCATGTTTGATGAATCATGGCTTGTGGGAAGCAGAGAACAGGAAGAGAGCGTATACAGATTAATCCTTTAGTCTCATATATTAAGAAACCTGGCAGCCTGGGTTTCTGGGGTGGAGGGAGGCCTTCATGCTTGTGAGTTGGAGATGAGTCTCAAATCACATTCTCATAATTATTGTTCCATACTGTATCCTCCCATAATAATTCTGCTTTGAAGTTACCTCGTACAAGCACATGGCTGATTGTTATCTAGCCTGCAGCTTTAACTATAGGAGGAAACACTTGCTATTGCCCTCTAGGCTCTGAGGACAGCCACTCCCCCTTAGCTGATCCCTGGCATGGGCGTTAGGTTACTCCTCCAATGTATCCAGGGAACCTTTAGAGTTAGGGTACAGTCTAATTTGTTATGTATAATGTGGTTACCTGTAATTAGGGGGACTTGCATGTCCTAGAGGGTATATAAGCCTCTATTGGAAATCTATTCTCTCTCTCTGCACGGACCTGGCTCCTGAAGTCATGAGAGTCCCAAAGGTGAGGCCTTGAGTGCTTTATATTATCTGATTCTTTTTCATTTTACCCCTCAATTACACAATTGCCCCTTGGACCCATTCCATTGTGGGGGCTGGTATCCCCCCATGGCTGAAAGCAGAGAGTGCCGTAAAAGTTTACTTGTGTTTTATTGACTATACTAAGGTAGTCAACTGGGGAGACCATAACACGCTATGGATAGTTTTGAGAAGAAGGGTAATACCAGCACACGACATTGTGCTCACATGGAACCTGGACTTTGATCCAGAGACAGTTGTGCGAATAGAACAAGAACATACACATGTTTTAAAATCAGGAAAAGTATGTGTGTCAAGGTTGCATCTGTTCGCCATACTTATTCAATCTGTGTGCTGAGCAAATACTCAAGAGAAAGCTGGATTATATGAAGAAGGATGCAGCAGGAAGGATGCAGGAAGGCTTGTTAACAACCTGTGGTAGACAGATAACCTTGCTTACTGAAAGGGAGGACTTGAAGTCCTTGCTGATGAAGATCAAGGATTGCAGCCTTCAGTATGGATTACAACTCAATGTAAAGAAAGCCAAATTCCTCACAAAAGGACCAATCATAGCAAACTGAGAAAAGACTGAAGTTGTCAAGGATTTCGTTTTTCTTGGATCCACATGGTCATGGAAGCAGCAGGCAAGAAATCAAAGGACGCACATTGCATTGGGTGAAGCTGCTGCACAAGACATCTTTAGAACAAAATGGGTGCATAAACTCAAGTGGTGAAGAAAGCTGATGGTGACCAACTATTACAAGATACAGCGTCTGGAGTCTGAAAGTCCTGAAGTTTAATAAGCGGCCATTTAGCAGGGAAGCAACAAAGCCCAAGTGGAAGAAGCACACCAACTTGTGTGATCATGAGGTGTCGACAGGATCAGGTATCAGGCATCAGAAGACTCAAAACAAACATTTTAATGCGAATGAGAGGGGTCAGAATGGAGACCCAAAGCTCATCTGTAGACAATTGGACATCCCTTCACAGAAGGACCACAAGGAAGGGATGAGCCAGCCACGGTGCAGTAAAGCATGGACAAAATACATTCTTCTAGTTCTTTAATGCTTCCTCCCTCCTATGATGGCCCCAATTTTACCTTACAACTCTGGCTAGACCAGAGCATGTATACTGGTACAGATAAGAGCTCTGGACACAGAATTCAGGACAGATAAAGCCCCTCAGGACCAATAATGAGTATCAATACCATGAGGGTAGAGGAAGGTGGGAGGAGAAAGGAGAAAGGGGAAACCGATTTCAATGATCGACGTACAACAACCCTCCCCCCAAGGGGATGAACAACAGACACATGGGTGAAGGGAGACAGTGGATGGTGTAAATTATGAAAAAAAAAGTTTATAAATTATCAAGGGTTCAAAAAGGTGGGAGGACCCGGGAGGGAGGGGGGCCAAAAGGAGGAGCTGATATCAAGGGCTCAAGTAGAAAGAAATGTTTTGAAAATGATAATGGCAACATATGTATAAATGTGCTTGATACAAATGATGTGTGGATTGTTACAAGAGCTGTAAGAGCCCCCAATAAAATGATTTATTTTAAAATGTTTTTAAAAAGACCTCTTTAGAGTAATGAAAAGCAACGATATTACTTTGAGGATTAAGATGTGTCTGTCCCAAGCCATGGGCTTTTCAATAGCCTCATGTCCGTGTGGAAGTTGGACATTGAATAACGAAGGATTGATGCATTTGAATAGTGGTGCTGGTAAAAAATATGGAAAGTACCATAGAGTAGAACACGAAACACAACACATCTGTCTTGGAAGAAGTATAGCCGGAATGCTCCTTAGAGGCAAGGATGGTGGGATCAGCCCCTGGTGAAGGACGTCATGCTTGGTAAAGTAGGGGAGCCGCGAAAAAGAAGACACTTGACCCGATGGATTGATACAGTGGCTGTATCAATGGAAGAACAATTGTGGGGAAGACACAGAAGTGGGCCGCGTTGTGTTCTCCTGGACTTACAGGGTTGCTATGACCTCCAACGGACTCGATGGCTCCCAGCAGCAGCAGCAACATAGAAGAAAACTCTTATCTTGGATGTGTATCACTGAGTCCAGGAGAATTCACACCGCGTGAACACGGGACACGTGGTTGGCTTTTCCCTGCTCTAATGAAAGAAAATTGGTGGTGTGAGGGTCCCATCTTCCTCTGTGCCCGCAGTGCTGAATCGCCGGCCTGTGGCTGAGAGGTCGGTGGTTCCAGCCTCCTGGTTGCTCCGCGGAAGACGGGTGCTTCCATGAATATTATCGCCTTGAAAACCCTATGGGGGTAGTTCTACTCAGTGCTGTAAGGAAGCGAACTCAAGCCTCGCTCCAGGGCAGTAAGTGTTTTGGTTTGGGTGTCTTTTAACACAATTCTCCGCCCCGCCCCCGCAGCAGAGGCGGAACGTCCCGTGGCCGCGCCCGGCCCCGCCCACCGGCCTGCATCTCCCGTGAGCCTCTGCGCCTCCCCCTCTCCGAGAGGAAGTGCCGTGCGTGCACCGGAGCGGCACTTACCGTAGGAATTTGCCCGGGCCGCAGGCGGGGGGCCGGGGCCGAGGCGGGATTGCCGCCGCCGCCGCCGGGGCGCGTCGGTCGGGGGCCGGAAGCGCAGCGAGGGCGAGAAGCGGGAAGCGCGGCGCTCGGGCCCTCGTCCGGCCTGCGGGTCTCCGGGTGGTCGCGCGTGCCCGGAAGCGGCGATCCCGCGGCCCAGGCCTCCGGTAAGTGGGCGGTGGGGCCGGGCCGACCACCCGCCGCAGGTCTCCCCGGGCGCCTGGCCTCCAGACGCTCCTCGCCTCGCCAGGCCGCCCCGCCGGTTGGGTTAGTCCGGCAGCCTCGGGCTTCCCGGCCCCCGTGCCCGCCGGGCGCCCCTCCCGGCCTCCCTGATGCCCAGTAGAAGCGGCCCGTGGTTTGTGCGGGCTTTTTAAAGAGCGCTTTTGTTCCCTTATGTTTCCCGTGGGATTGGTTGAACGAGACTGTTGTTGCCCCACGGGATTCTGTGTTCTTTGATGGCAGGAATGGTGTTTTGCCCTTCCGAGGGCCAAGTGGTAGTCCAAAAAGAGAAAGCGACAGCCGGCGTGAGCGTCCCAGCCTGGCCCTGGGCGCGGTTCGGTCCCCCCCTGTAAGTGAGCCGGCCCGGTGCTGGCAGCCTGCCCGTGACGGGTCCATGCTGTACTTGTGAGGGCTTCCGACTGAAGGGTGACTCTAGTGGGAGCAACAGATGGAAACACTGCCAGGTCGAGCGCTTGCCTCACAATTATGTTTGAGCCAATTGTTGCCACCACTCTGTCAGTAGGATGCTTTCTTCCCAAACCCCCGCCCCCCTCCTGGAACTTTTCCGTTTGGGAGCTGGCCGCTACACTCAGGTCGATTGCATAGGTCGGTTTCCAATGTATGGGTCTTCTTTCCCTCCCGCCGGTGGGGGGCCTCCATGGAAAGAACACCATACGCTTTTGAATACCGCACACGAGAAAAACAGTTGCACCATCTAGATGGTTTATTATTAGTATTTTTTAATGAATGAGGAGGTACCATGCCAAAAGCAAACCAACTGCCCTTAAGTCAGTTCTGAATCAGAGCTACCCTGCGGGGCAGTGTAGACATGCTCCATGGATTTGCGAGGCTGCAAATCTTTACCACAGCAGGAGACGCATCTTCCTCCTCTTGGAGCAGCTAGTGGATTTGAACCGTTAACCTTGTTTTAACTGCCCAATTCTAACCATTAGGCCTTCCTAAAGAAGCACTATCCCCAAACGAAACTCATTGTCCTGGGGTTGATGCTGACTCATAGCACCGACTCACAGGCAAGGCAGATCTACCCCCATGAGTTTCCGAGACTAACTCTAAGGAGTTGAAAGCCCATCCGTCTGTCTTCTAGCAGAGCTGCTGCTGGTCTGGAACTGCTGACCTGCAGGGTGCAGCCGTGCGAAGCTCCAGAACTCCTACAAGAAGCACCGCCTGTGGGTGGTTTTTCATTTCAGTGCTGTAACCAGCACCCTGAGTCGTGGATACACTTGTTAGTACTTGGTCAATATAACTTAATAATGTATATATTAAAGACAGAAATGCTGATGGTTGATATCAACAGCTATAAGAATAAGCATGCTCTATTTACTGAAATATTTCATGCTCTCTTTAATTAGTCTGAGTTTACATTTGTTATTTGTCTATGTGCTTTTGAAACGTACAGGCAGACCTTGTTTTATCATGCTTCACAGGTGGTGTGTTGTTGTTTTTTTACCAATTGAAGGTCTGTGGCAGACCTGTGTGGAGCAAGGTATTGGTGCCAAATGGCATGGGCTCCCTTCCTTTCTTTGTATGACATTTTAGTAACTGTCACATTATTCCAAACTTTTTCCTAATGCTCTTGTACTACTCATGGTGTAGACATACCTTTAGAAACAATGGGAAACCAAAAAGTCATGCGGCTCACTTTGTTGCCTTATTACTTCTATCGTGGTGGTCTGGCACTGCACTTGCAATAGCCTGTAGGCATTCCTGTACATCTTTCTGAAGAGATGAAACTGCAAACTCTTCATGTAGGAAGGCATGCTGTTCTTGGCCACTTCTTGCCTGCCATAAAAGTATGGTGCATCTTACACGTGTGTACACCTCATGTTACAGGTAATTCTACAGTGTTGACCACTGCTTCCGAACGTAACTGAGAAGAAAATAAGATGGCAGCCAATGCTTCAGGACAAGGTAATTTCCTCTATGGGTAAGACTCCATATGTTAAACCTGTTTGACTAAGAGTTGGCACAGGGCAATTAGTGAAGTTAGAATGAAACTGTCTAACTCAGTCAGGCTTCACTTCGGGTCACAGGCAGCATTCCGCCACAAAGCACTCAGCGGCTTGGTGGCTGCCTCGGACTGCCCTAACAAAGTAGCACCTGCCATGGCTGTAAAGAACAGAAATTGATGGTCTCAGTTCTGGAGACTAGAGTTCAAATCAAGTTATTGGCTGCGTTGATGCCTTCTGAGGGCATTAAAAAAAAAAGTTTTATTGGCACATAATTTACATGTCAGTAGTTTAGGCATTCAATCATACACTTATATAGTTCAATCATTTGATCATATCAAGAATTGTACAGTCATTACCATATCAATTTTAGAACAGTCCCCCCCTCCCCCAAATTGGTTAAATTGCTTTTAAAATAAGTTGTGCAATCACAGTCAGTTCTAGGACTCCCTAACCCCTCCTGTCTTCATTTCCCACTCTTGAAATCTCCCTTCCCTCCATCACCCACTCCCTGTGCCCCCCCACCCCTCCCTGCACCCCCTGTATCAGCTGTTATCACTATGCACCCACTTCTCTGAGGGCCTTTAGAGAGGACCTACCTGGTCCCTGATCCATGTCTTTCGCCCGGTTTGGTGGCTGCTGGCAATCTGGCATTCCTTCGCTGCTTCTATTGGTATCTTCACAAAGTTTCTTCTCCAGTCTCCATTTTTTGTCTCTCTGTTCTCCCCGTTTGTAACCCACTACTCAGATTTGATTAGGATTGATTCCCACCCTACTTAGGAATGATCTTATTCATTCTGATAACAAGAAAAATTCTGTTTTCAAACAAAGTCACTTTCACATATACAGGGCTTAGGGCCTATCTTTTGGGGAAAGACAGTTCCATCCCTAACATATCAGATACATTGTTGTCCTGTCAAGTGACCTCGTGTGCAATAGAACAAAACTGCCTGGTGGTCTTGGGCCATGCTCAGAATTTTATGTATTGGAGCCCATTGTTGCAACCACTCTGTTAATTCAACCTTGTTTAAAGCCTTGCACTGTTTTGCTGACCCTCTACCAAGCATGATGTCCTTCTCTAGGAACTGGTTCCTTCTGATAACATATCCAAAGTACATGCGATGAAGTCTCACCATCCTCGCTTCTAAGGAGAATTCTGGCTGTATGTTTTCCAAAACAGATTTGTTCGTTTCTCTGGCAGTCTTAAGGTATGCTCAATGTTTTCAATATCCAATTCCATAAGTCAAAGACAGCAACTCTTCTTTGGTCTGCCTTTTTCAGTGTCCAGCTATCATATGCATATAAGAGTTCAAATCCACTGCCATCAGGTTAATTCTGGCCCAGAGCAACCTTAGAGGACAGGGTACCGGGTAGAACTGCCCCTGTGGGTTGCCAAGACCAAAACTGCAAGGGAAAGCCTCATCTTTCTCGCATATGCATAGAAGGCAACTGAAAATATCAAGGCTTGGGTCAGGCACACCTTGCCCTCACAGTGACATCCTTAACACTTAAAGGAGTCGGTCTTTTGCAGCAGACTTGCCCAATGCAATATATCACTTAATTTCTTTCTTTTTTTATCATTTAATTTCATAGCTGCTGCTTCCATGGATCTTGATTCTGGATTTAAGTAAAATGAAATCCTTGATAATTCAGTATCAGTATTATATTAGGTATACAGTATCTAATTCAGTATGTTATATTAGATATACAACATCTTTAATAGTTTTTAATTCTGTATTTTAATCTGTGCTCAGATGATTTACTTTGTAAACCTTAGGTTCCATTGTGACACCTGTCTTTTCTCACTCTTATACTGGACATCAGAAACCCTTTTTTTGAAAGTTAATATTGTCATTAGGCAATATAGATGGCTTCATTTTTATTTGATCTAAAACTTCTATATACATTTCCCCTGTTGTAGAGCTCTTTAAAGCATATCAAGTTAGATGCATTGTCTGCTGCCAGGGAGTTCTTACTTAAAATGTTTTATAAGAAATTTAAGTTTACTGGGGCATGGCAGGGGAGGTTGGGGGACGTGGGGGGGACTAAATGATGAGTACCAGAATGAAGAAAATGATTATGGTGATGTGATCATGCAACTCTTCTTGATGTGAATGAACTATTGTATGATATGTGAATTACATGTCAATAGAACTCTTGGGAAAAAGTTTAATCTCTGAAGAATCCCAAATCCCACTTAGTATGTAATTTTCTGCTTAAAGACTTGAAGCAAGCCTCTATTTCCTTCCCATAACAAGTTTGAACTCCATTCGAACCCTGTGCCTATTTGACCCATCAACACATTAATTACTCATTCTTGGCTCTAATAAAATGTTCTTTCATATAAGAGTTACCACTTTAAGGGAGATTGGCAATCAAAGGGATTGCTCTTGGTTGTGCTGCCTTTGACCTGTGTTGAGGCAGGTGATGGTAAGACGCATTCTTTTTCAATAAGAAGATGTGTTGTCTGTTATAGACGTGGCTCCTTGACGGTCAGAGCTGTGCAGAGGAGACTTGGGCAGCACCGCTTTTCATCCACGTAAATGTCAGACTATTCCTAAGTGAAGCTAGCTTGTTAGGGTGTGTAAGGGAGGAGGCTGAGCTGCAGAGACTGGGGCACAGAGCACAGGGGAGGACGTTCTCCACATGTCCACGCAGAGCAGCGGTCCTTCACCTTCCTCACGCCGCGACCCTCTCACACCGTTCCTCGTGGTGGTGACCCCCAACCGTAACATGATTTTCATTGCTACTTCATCATTGTCATTTATCCATGGTTCTGAATCGGGCAACCCCTGTGAAAGGGTCATTTGACTCACAGGTTGAGAGCCGATGATCTGCAGCCAAGAGGAAGAAGGTGGGGCGAGTAGGCGTCGTGCACGTGTTTGCTGTATTTCTGTACTCTTCAGTAGCTTGCTGTGTTCGGTTCTTGATTTAGTGACTCAAAACATTAAAATGCAGGGGACAATTTTAGTTAAATCCACTAGACTTCCTTCTACAGTATCATTCTTCTATCTATGAATGGCATAAGAGATAACATATCTTAAGAAAGGTATTTTAGAAGAGTCTTTTTTAGTATATAGACACAATTCAAGCAGCTGTTTATACACGATTAAAATTTGTTAAAAATCTCTCAATAAAATAAACACGGGTTGCACTTTGCTCTGGAATAAATGTGGTAGTTATTGACCATAAGACTATCATTGAGTTTTGAGAATGACAAGGGCAATGAATGTACAAATGTGCTTTACACAATTGATGTGTGTATGGATTGTGATAAGAGTCATATGAGCCCCCAATAAAATGATTTTAAAAAACAAAACAAAGACTACCTTAGTGAAGCAGTGGTGAGCGAGCACTGGTGGTTTTGGAAATGAATGGCGTATGTCCGTGCCAACCAGAGGAGGAGGAGTCAGGCTCTAAAGAGGCGTGAGAGTGTGCAGCTGCAGGAAAACACTGACCTTTTATTATGAAAAATTTCAAAACTATGAAAGCGAACAATAGTATAATAAGCTTGGGTATACCTTTCACTGCAACTATTATCCACACATTCTGCCATTCTTGTTTCATCCCTACTTTCATCCATTCCTCTCTATTTGATGATTTTTAAAAACATTCTTAGATGACATTTACATATATTAAAATGCACAGATCTTTTCCTTTAAATCTGTTTTATTGGCACATAAACATGTCATACAATTCAATAGTTCAATGATATAAAATGCACAAATCTTTGCAGTACAATTTTCACAAATGATAGCAAACATTTCTATCTCACTGAAGGCTGCCTTTGTCTCTCCCCAGTCTTCTGTGCCTCCCCCCACCCCCACCCCATTGTTCTGTGTTTTTTTTAAGTCTTAGTTTCATCTGTTCTAGAACCTTATATGAACGGAGTCATTGAGTGTTACTTGTGTGTGTTCAGCTTCTTTCACTCACTGCAGTGCCTGTGATTCTTCCTCCATGTTGAGGCATGGATCAAAAGTTTATTCTTTTTTTACAGTGTAGTAGTAGTCCATGATCTGATGACACCACAGTTTGCTTATTGATTCTCCTCACTGTGGACTTTGAGATTTTCGCCTGTTTTGGTTTTTGCAAAGAAAGCTGCCATGACCATTTTTGTTCTGAAGTCTTTTTATAGGCATATTAAAAAATTTTCTTTCTTGGATAAATAGTAGGAATGGTGTGCTTGAAAATATGGTTAACTTCACAAGGAAACTGCCACACCCTCTTCCAAAGTGGATGTACTATGTTACTTTCCCACGAGCCACGGGTGAGAGTCTGGTTGTGCATCTTTCTTTCCAGTCATCCTAGTGGGTGCGCAGCGACACTGTGCTCTAGTATTGAGTCGCTTGGTTCTGTGATGAGTAATGAGGCAGGGTTTTTTAATGTAATGAAGTGGTCAATGTAAATTTTCCTTTATGAAGTATTTGTCCCAATCTTTTGTGAATCTTTAGAAATTGGGGTCATCTTCAGTACTAAGTTGTGAGAGACTTCAAAAGGATCTGGATACAAGTCCTTTGTCAGGTAACCAGACTTGCCGCCCTCGAGTCCTTGCTGACTCGTCTGTAGTGAGCGCCGTGGGTTTCTGAGGCTGTCACTGATTGGCGATAGAAAGCCCAGTCTCACTCCTGTGCTGATGACAGTCCCGTGCAGAACCACTCTACCAGCAGGATGCCTTAAATGTTGTGCAGATCGTTCCTCCCATTGCCTCTACAGTGCTGTTAGCATGCATGCAACGTGTACGCTTTTCTCTGGTTCTTTTCAAAATTGCCTCGTGGTTTTTACGTCACAGACTTGATATGTGGAGGGGTAGTTTTTTGCTTGGGTTTGTTGATCTTTGGGAATGGTAAATGGATATCTTTCACCAAATTTGGAAAAGTTTTGTCTGTTATTATTAAAATATATTTTTGACCCTGCTTTTCCTCTTCTAACTTCAAGTTTAACGAGGGTTCTGCAATTTCCAAT